ATGGCAAGAGCACTATATTATGCTTTCGTTAAGAATTTTATCATTTATTTCTGCTTATTAACATTCCATGATATGAGATTGAGTCCAATGAAAGAACAATATCATGAGATGGATCATCGATCATGCTTGTCTTAGGCCCAATCAGTGTCTGAATAGGAATGCAAGTTGAGATCACCTGAGGTGATCAGTAAGCCAAGTTGAAGTGTGCCTTTGATGTACCTAAGTAGCCTTTTCATTTGCTAAAAATGAATATTCAGTGGAGAATGCATAAATTGGCACAAGTGATTGGTGATGAAGGCTATGTCTGGACTGGTGATGGTGAGATACTATAGGGAGCCATCAATGGAATGGTATAGGGATGAATTGCATAAGGGTTGTTTATCTTCGGTAGAGGTTGCATCCTTCAAGGAGGTTGGGGAGAGAGCCGCTTTGCAGTCCTTGAAACTTGATTTGAGGAGTTTGTCGTCAGCATATTGTGATTGGTTTAAAAAGAAGGTAGTTGGAGTGGTGTGAATTTGTAGCTCAAGAAAGAAGGATATAGGTCCAATGTCCTTTAATGAGAATTTGTTCTGCAGCTGGAGTAGGATATTTGAAATGAAGATATTATTGTTCCCATTTATTAGGATGTCTTCTATGTATGACATAAGATAGAACTAAGTGGTGGTGGATGAAAAAATGAGGAGGGATGGTTCGACATGACTGAATTGAAAGCCTAACTTAGTGAGGAATTTGGAGAAGGTGAGAAACCATTATCTAGGGGCTTGTTTGAGGCCATAGATGACTTTTTGGAGTTTGTAGATGTTTGTGGGATAGAGATGATCTACAAAGTCAGGAGTTTGAGCCATGTAGACCGTGTCAATGAGTGTTCCATAGAGAAAGTCGTTGGACATGTCATATTGATGAATTAACCAGTGGTGTTGTAAGGAAACAATTAGAAGAAGGCAAATTGTTGGCATTTTTGCTATGGGACTAAAAGTTTGATTATAATATATGCCATATTATTGATTGAATCCTTGATCTACAAGGAAAGCTTTGTAGCAGTTGATAGTGACATATGGGTTATGTTTGGTCTTATACGTCCATCGAAAGCCAAGGATTTTATGATTTGGAGGTGGTGGTGTTAGGATCCATGTGCCTTATTTTTGTAAGGCAAAGAATTCATTGGATATGGCTTAGCACTAGTGAGAAGATTTGGATGCTTATATGTAGTATGTAGGGGTGGATGATGAGATAGAGAAATAAACCAAAGTGAATATAATTAAGGGTTTGAGATGCCCTGTTTTGGATCTCATTAGCATTGGGTGAGTAGTGGCGGGTGTGGGAGTGTTTGGAGTTGGTAATGGAGAAGTGGATTGATTGTATGATGAAGGCTGAGTTGCTGGGGTTTGAGTTGGGGTTAAGGCTGAGGGAAGGATGGGTGGCGAGGTGAGTGGTTTTGGTTGGATAGTGGTGGTTGGAACAAGTAGAAGAGGGGATTGTGGGCAAGTTGTTGTGGTGGATGTGTTTGGTTGAGAAAGGTTTTGGTCAGCTTTAAAGGGGAATTCAATTTCATAGAATAAGGCATGACATGATATAATGACTTTATGTGTGATTGTATTATAACAGCAATATCCATGATGGTTGGTGGGATAACCGATGAAGATAGAAGTTGTGGAACATGGTTCTAGTTTGTGTGGAGCTATTTGGTCGAAGCTAGGGATATGCAACCAATGGTATTAAGGTGTTTTTAAAATGGTTTTTGATTGAATAGGAGTTCATGAGGTGATTTGAGATTGGTATTTCATGAGGGAGGAAAGTTTGTTGATGAGATAAATGGTAGTTTAGAGAGTTTCCATCCAAAATTTTGAAGGAAAATGAGTTGTTTAAAAAAGTGTTTGCTTGGTTTCAATGAGATGCCTGTGCTTGCGCTCAGCTATGCCATTTTGCTCGGGTATATGTAAAGACATGAGAAATGACGTGAAATGCCTTTGTGAAGAAGAAATTCATGAAGTTTGTTGGAGGTATATTCTTCACCACCATCAAATTATATTATTTTTATATGAGTATTGAATAAAGTTTTGATCATCAAAATGAATTGTATTAGAATGTTGGTTGTTTGATCTTTATTGATGTCTGGATGTATTACATTAAATGATATAGTAGAATGAACTACATGAGAGTTAAAAGGGAGTTTATGGCTTTTTGCCGTATTACATGGATTGCACAAAATTTTGTGAAAAGATGTGTTGGAGATATTTAGAGTATTTGCAAGCTATTGGAGAATGAAGTTGTGTGGATGTTTGAATATTGTGTACCATAAAGTAGCTAAGTTAGTAGTGGTGTGGAGAGCTGTAGCCGAGTGCTTGGAGTGGATTGGAAGGATTGGATAGAGGACATGATGTCTGCAACTTTGAAGAAGAATTTGATTTTGTTGAGTCGTCCTTGATGACAAAACTGTTAGCATTGAATGATACAAAATAATTATTGTCTTTGGTTAGTTGATGGATAGAAAGAAGATTGTGTGAAATAGAGGGAACATGTAGGATGTTATGTAGATAGATCTTGTGGTTGGAGTTAGGTGTCGGGAGAAGTCCTTGACCACTATTGGAGATAGGAAGGGATGAGCTATTGCCAAATGTGATGGTGTCGGAGCCTTCATATGCCAATGGGTTCTGAAGTTGAGATACATATGTCGTGAGATGAGTGGATGCCCCAGAGTCTAAATACCAATTGGGATCTAATGGAGGTTATTCACAAAGTAGAGACCGACTAGTATTGATTCATATTTATACTGCATATTGCATATAAGCTAGCATTTGAGAGCGGTGTGTCCGATCTTTTCACATATTTGACAAGTTAGGCGGGAGACTTGGGAAAAACCTCTGCCACCTCTTGCAGATGAGCACCCTTGACCCTTGTAGTTGCCATAACCTCTAGCAGAAGATAGAGCCAATGTAGAGTTGTCAATAGTTGGGAGCTTCATGTTTTATGTGGAGAGATTAATTTCTTCACTACAAAGCAGTGAGTAAAGATCATCCAGACGGGTTAGGCTTCGTTTTGGGCGAATGGCTATTTTGAATGCCTGATATGAATTTGGAAGCCCATTAAGGATGTGAAGGATAATGTCTTCTAGGTCAAGGTGAGCACCAACAACAGAGATGCTGTCTAGAAGGGACTTGATTTAGGACAGGCATTGGGCTATGGTGAGTTCTTTCATGGTGATATTATGGAGTTCATCCTTTAGCTAAATGACACTTGAACGATTTGTTGGTTGAAGTCTTTTCTCTAGGGTTTGCCATATCTCATTGTAGCTGTTGAGATTTAGGATGTAGGGAAGAATGCCGTCTGAAATTGTGGAGAAGAGGGCAACTGAGCGATTTTGGTTTATTAGATTCCATGTATTGTAGGCTGGGTTGGGAGTGATTTCATTGATGGAGGAGAGAATTTGTTTCGGTAGAAATATTTAAGTATCTTGTACAAAGCCTTCATATGAGTTTGTAGAAAAGAGTTTTAGGATTTGAAGCCACCATATATAATAGTTATCAGGGGAGAGTTGTGTATGAACAATATGTTTGATATTCGACATTAGAAATTTTAGGGATGGGGGAATACATTGCTCGGTAGAGGTAAGAAAATTTTCTGGAGCTGGTGGTGGGGATGTGATGGTGCTGTTGGCGTCCCTCGTGGAGGTTGTGTGATGTTGTTGGGCTTAACACATCTTTGATACCATGAAAGAATGCTTAAGCACCTATGAAAAGTTAGAAATGCAAGTGTATAACAGAGGAAAGGTAGAGGATGAAATCCGACATTTCATGTATGTTCAATACATCAACATAGGTTACAAATAGTGTATATATGGATGAGGAGATAATCATTTCCAGTGGCTGTTATTTGTAGATGGAGAAGAATCGCCAATCATCAAAGCGAAGTGGAGGCAAGTTGCTGCTAAACCGTGCCAAAGAACGAGGGATGCATTGGAAAAGCTTTGAGGCATGCATTTGTATTCAAAAGATTATTTATGGTATATATAATCATTCTCCTATTAAGAAGAAGGGCTTATAGACCAATAAGTTAAATATAAATCGTAATAGAGATATTAAGTGTCTGAATTAGGGTCGTTGACATGCATCAGCCTTATTGGCGATGATGTGCATCGATGTTATTGGTGATGAAGGAAGATGAAGTTGATGGGCATCGATGTTTGAGTCGATGATGTGCATAGATCTTATAGGTAATGGAATGAGTAAACAATGTGCATCAACCTTAATCTAATATAATTTTATTGAAGATTTAAACATAATTTATTTTTACAAATATATTTTAAAATTTACAAACCTAAAAATTGAAATAAAAATAAGAAAAAAATAAATGTTCATTTTTATTTTAAAAATTAAATATATTAACAAAGAGAAAAAAATGAGTTGACAAGATTATAATATCTCAGCTTCTAATATCACTTTCTTAAAAATAATTAAAGAGACTTTATTAGTTCCACAACGCTTAAGTGTCCAATATTTTTTAGCTTCACTTTAAATTTATAGTAATTCTATTTTTTGAGATTTAGAAAATTAGAAAGAAATATAAAATATCTTATTAAAATTTTTAACTATTTAATTCTTAGATATGATGTTTTTTCTAATCTTACATTTATAAATCTAAAAATATTTTACATTTAAAATATTAAAATAGAAAGATAACAATTTTTTTTAAAATAAAGCTTCATGCTAATTTAAATTGTAGAGAAATTTTTTATTTTATTTTTCTTAATAATGTGCATATAAAAATAAAAATAAAAATAAATATATATTATATTATCAAAATATAAAATCAATTGTGAAGAAAATTTAGCCAAAACAAATCTTATTTTTATAAATGTATCAATTAAATTTGAGGGAGCATCATTTCTTTATATTTAAAATAAATAAATATTAATTTGTTGACTTGAAATTTATGCAAAATATTTTACTATTATAATATTTTTATTAAAAAAATACAGTATTTATCACAATTATAAATACTCCATTTTCTCAGAGCCGCTCTCTTATCTTCTGAAGAGTGCTTCCATCTCTCTTTGAGCTCAGCGGATGCTGAGGTCAGCCCCTTCTTGGTGAGCTCGTCTTCCCGATCGCTTTTCCGGCCTAGAGATGGTGGTAATTCCCCTTGCTCTTCGTCTTATCTAGGAAAGATGGCGTTTTTATTTGCTTTTATTTAGTTTGTTTACTGGTTATTAATTTCTGTTGGATATTTCTCCTAAGAATTTATTGTATTTGGAAGTCAAAGAATCTGTTTTAAGAATTTTTTAGATGGATATTTTTTCTAAGAATCTGTATTTGCTGAAAGGATTATCTTGGAAATCTTTAAAGGTTGAATCTGTTAGGGTTATTAAGCTTCAGGGAAGTTCTTGTTTTGGAGCCTTCGTCGATCTGATCTTTATTGTATGAACGTTTTTGGTCGTGATGTCCGTCCAGTTCTCTGTCGGGAGAAAAATCACCAACAACAAACGAATAGAGCGTTGTTTGTTTTTATGGGTTGCGATTTGTGATTTTGTTGATCCTGAAGATTGTTCTCCTTTGATTAATCTAAGGTGCTATTCTGCTACGAGTGGGATTTAATAAATCTTGTGAATCCAGATTTAGTAAATCGTGAAGTCATCAAATCCTAAAAAAACTTTTGGCATGATACTTTTTAAATTTGGGTAAATTCTGGTTGACTATTTAACATGTATTTTCAATATTTATGATTTAAACGAAGGACAAGATGATTCATAGTGAGAAGAAACGGTGTAAATTTCTTAAATCATACTAAATCGAAAGGAAAAAGGGATATAAGAAGATGGTAGAATTTATGTGGCTTATAAAAGCTATTTTACTAGAGAAAATGATCCTTAGGGGTAATGGGTATGTAAGAAAAATGCATACCAAGGGGGGGTTGAATTGGGTGAGCTCGAGCACTTCCAAATTCATTTTTGAATTCAAATCCCACACAAATTGATGCTAATTGAGCTAATAATATAGAAATTAAATTTGCAACTCAATATGTAAAGGCTTTTACAAAACAAACTAGCTTATCAAATGCTTATCAACACATAAGGTAAGTTGATGTATGCGATGAGTTGTGCTTATGTGTGTGACCTAAGACTCTAAGCATTTATTTACATGTTCCCTTGCTACTAATACAATCAAATAATCCATCACAACTGACATGTAGATTGATTTAAGGTGTATAATTTCAAAATCAAGCTAGTGAGAGAGTAGTTTATCACAGCTACAATGTAAACATTAGGGTGAATTTAGCATGCCAGAGCACTGGCAAATTTGTTTTTTTTTTTTTTAAATTGGATAACAAAGTTAAGCACTGTCAAATTCATTTTTCAGAATGTTCTCAATTCAAGTATTTCACAATCCAATGCTAATTGAAGCTAATAACATAGCAATTGAATTTAAAATCAAATGTATGAAGGCTAGTACGATTAAACAAGCAAATCAAATTCTTATCAACACCCAAGGTAAGTTGATTTATGTGATGATTTGTGCTGAGGTGAGTGACTTTAAATTTAAGCACTTATATGCTTCCCTGGTTTTAGCATAGTCAAATAATCCATCACAGCTTACACATTGTTTGAATTAAGGTGTATAATTGCAATATCAAGCTAGTGGGAGAATATTTTTATCATGAACACAAGGTAAATATTACACTCTACTTCACTTGCTATAATGATTAAACTCACAATACGGTGAAGCTACAAACTATATTCCAAGTATAATGATATTGTTATCAAGAGTAAATTTGAGTTATATGTGTGTATTCTGATTTAAGGTATATAATTACAAAATTAAGCTAGTGAGAGAGTATTTTATCACGTGCACAATAAAATATGGCTACCAACTAAATTCAATGTATAATGATGTTATGATCAAGAGGATATAGCTATATGAGAGTGCATTTAATTTTAAGCGTAAATAAAGTAATTTACTCTGCACATTAACATAGAAGTAATTATTGTATGGATCACCACAAAAACATGGCGTAAATAAAGTAATATACTTTGCATGTTTCAATCTCTAATGGGCTTACATCCATGCCTAGACCTCGTGAGTTTCCTGGGCTTGCAAACAAGCACAAGCACAACAAACATCTTTTATCGGGCAAAAAAGCCCTTGAACCCTCACACTATCTTCACGGGCTAGTGGTGCCCAAACTTCATGAAGCTTTTCGAAGGACTTAGCAAACTCTTCATTACAAGAGAAATTATCCCAAACCAAAACTCTTCGAACTTTGCAGGTGAATTAGATATTTTCATAATCTAGCTTATACAATCTCCTCTTACAAAGCATTGTAAACTACACTAAAAAAGCTAAAGTGCAAAACAATCTTATAAATATGCTAAGAGAATGAGGGAAAGGTATTACCATAAACTAGAGCTATAAAGACCTTTGAAGGATGAATATCTTAAGTCCAATTAGATTATTTTTCTAAAATGAAATAAGTCTTTAATCTCACATAATTAGATTGCTCATTAGTTGCCAAAACCTCCAAAACTAGGCATTTGATTCTAAATTTTTTGTACAACAAGCCTTTATTTCACTACGTAGGGTTGACTACATCAATCCTTTTTATCTTTTGTGTAAGAGTCAAATTCTCATTTAAATCTTAATAAAAAAGGTCATTTATAATATTTTCTAGCCAAGTCTTTTTAGGTCTACCTTTCTTAATATAGGCCAAATCAAATACATCTACTCTCCTGGCGGGGTCATTGGAAGGCTGACGTTTAATGTGTCCAAACCTTATAAGACGACTCTCTCTAATCTAATTAGCCACTGAAGCTACTCTAACCTTGTCATATATATATACTCGTTTCGCATTGTCTTTAAGAGTAAAGCCACTCATCCACTTGAGCATCCTCATCTCTACAACATTCTGCACCATAAAACATTGCAGGTCTCAACACCATATTTCCCTAAGTTTAAAAAACATATTCCTTAAAAGATCATCAAATGACTAACCAGTTGTTTAATGACTATTTTGCATATTTGGTAAATGAGTTTACCCAATATTGGACATTTTCTCAAATGTTGGGATCTTAATGTTTGAAATAACATAATTAGGTATTGAGGTATTCTCATTTTGTGAGGCGAGGTTTAAGATTCGAGAGTTTTTGAAGCATAAGCCTTAGAATTAAACCATTAAATCAATAAAAAAATATGAAATAATAAGTAGCTTACTACATCAAAGTAAGATCATAAAATTTTAAAAATAATTTAAAATCATACAAGACTACAAAAAAAGCTAAATAAATAGCCTTATGCTCTCAATTCAACATAGACAAGTAGCCTAAGGTTATAATTTATGAATTCAAGATTCACTCACACTCTCATCACTTAAGAGGGTTTTCATCAGAATCATCATTGTAGTTAATTGCTTTATCTCTTCCCTCATACTAAAAATACACTAGAAAAGCTAAAGCTAAAAATAATCTTACAAATATGCTAAGAGAATGAGGGAAAGATATTACCAAAAACTAAAACTAGAGCTATAAAGACATTCGAAAGGATGAACACCATAAGCCCAATTAGATTTTTTTCCCCAAAATGATAGAAGTCTTTAATCTTATTTAAATAGTTTGTTCAGTAGTTGCGAAATCATCAAAAACTAAGCATTTGATTCTAAATTTTTTGTGTTAAAAAAACTATTCCTTAAAAGATCCTCAAATGACTAACCAGTTATTTAATGACTATTTTTTATAGTTGGTAAATGAGTTTGCCCAATATTGGTTATTTTCTCAAATGTTGGGATCCTATTTTCGAAATTACGTAATCAAGTATTGAGGGTTTTTTTTTGTGTGAGGGAAGGTGTATGTCTGGAGGCGTTTTGAAGCATAAGCCTTAGAATTAAACCATTAAATTAATCAAAAATATAAAATAATAAGTAACATAATAACATCAAATTAAGATCATAAAAATTGAAAGATCATTAAATTCATACAAGGCTATAAACAATGCTAAATAAATAGTTGTTTAACTTCTAGTTTAACATAAACAAGTAGCCTATAATTTATGAATTCAAGAGTCACTCACTCTCTCATCACTTAGAGGTCATTAGAATCATCATTGTTGTTAATTGTTTTCCTCATCTCTATAACACTTAATTTTATGTTTCTCTTTTAATGACCAACATTTTGCATCATAAAGCATTGCATGTATAACCATCATTTCATAAAATTCTTCTATAAGTTTGAGGGGCACTTTTTATCACACAATATGCCCGATGCATTTATCCACTTCAACCATCCAAATTAAATTCTACTAATAATATCCACATCTATTCACCATCACTTTGAACAATAGACCTTAGATATTCAAAACATGCACTCTTTTTAATTACTTGATCACCCAATGTCACAATCTCACCGTTAGATCTTTTACTGCTAAAATTACACTCCATGCACTCAGTTTTAGATCTACTCAAATGAAAACCTTTAGATTTTAAGGTTGACCTCTATAATTCAAGTTTTTCATTAACTCCCTCCTCTCTGGTCTTATCAACAAAAAGAATATCGACAAAAAGCACACACCAAGTTACATCCTCTTGCAAATGTCTAGTTAAAAAATTATGACTAAAGCAAAAGGATGTGGGCTTAAAGCTGGTCCTTGATGTAATCAAATTGAAATAGAAAAATACTTGATTAAAATATCTTGTGTTTAAACACAAGTAACAACTCATACATATCTTTAATGACTGAATATAAGCATTATTAACTTGTTTCCTTTTTAGAACTCTCTAAAGCACTTCACTTGGAATTTTATCATATGTTTTATCTAAATTAATAAATATCAAATCATATGTAAATTCTTCATACTTTTTTATGCTTATTCATTAAACCTCTCAAAAAATATAGCTTCTATAGTATAGACCTACCCGACATGAATCCTAATTGAATTTGAGAGATATTAGATTCACGTTGTTACCTATGCTTAATTACTCTCTTCCATAATTTTAATGTATCTTATATTATCTTAATTTTTCTATGATTCATACAGTTTTATGCATCACTTTTACTCTTAAAAAGAAAAATCAACAAACTTCTTCTTTACTCATTTGGCATTTTTTTGTTTATAAATAATATTAAAAAGTTTTGTGAGCCAAGAAATTCTTTAATCTCCTTAGCATTTTCATATTTCTATTGGAATATCATCAATTTCTATCATTTTTCTACACTCCAGTTTCTTTACAATCTCTCCAAATATGATATTACTACTACAACGATAAAATTAAAAATATATATTTTCTTTTAGGTTGTTATGATCATTAAAGCCAATTGTGTTCTCATGATCTTCATTGAAAATTTTATTAAAATATTTCATCCACCTATGTTGAACATCCTTTTTAAGATTTTTTTTTTTTTTAATTTTCATCTTTGATGTACTTCACTTGAAGTAAATATTTAGTTCTTCTATCTCTTTCTTTGGCTTTCTTATACTTTGTTTGGTATCTAATATATTATATAAATCACTTAAAACTAAGTTCTTTACAACACATTGCTTTCTCATAATCTTTATAGATATCTTTTCAATTTTTTTGAGTTTTTATATCAAAATCAATTCTTATGGTGATTTTTTATATTTTTTTACCTTTTGTTGTACATTTTGATTCTACTACCAACTATTTTTATTATTAGGAATTTTTTTCTTTTGATTCTTCAGGCACATACTTTATAATATTCTTAATATCACTAGTTACCTTTTTTCATATAACATTAACTTCCTTATGAACAACCCAAATTTTAGATCTTAAATTTTACTCTAAAAAATACTTTTATAAGCATTCTTTAAATATCTCTATCTAATCCTAAGATAGTATTTTACTTTATTTTTTATGTTTCATCTCCATGTTAAAGTTTAAAACTAATAAGCATTGTTGGGTATATAACTTTCTTTCAGAATGACATTTCAATTTTTACAATGATTTATTTTTTTTATAAGAAACTAATCAATCTGAGTTTTATTATGTCCATTCTTATAAGTGATGAGATGCATATATTTTTTTTTAAATAAAATATTAGCAATTTTAAAATCATCAACTATAATAGGATCTAATATGGTCCTATTATCTTCATAATCACTTCGAACTTATAGCAACCATGAATAATTTTAAAATATTCTACCACTTTACTACATAATCATTTAAATTTCTCCGATAAATATCCTTTATATTAATTTTTCTAGGTCATTTCAAAATTTTATTTTTGAATATATATGAAAATCTCTTTTAGGAGTATAAACACTTATAACATTAATAATATTAGCATTAATTACAATTTTAAAGATATAATTTTATGTTCAATTCTAATAATTTCTACAACATTATTTTTCAAACTCTTATTTAGAATTACATCCTTGCATCTTCTAATACGAGTTTTATCAAAATATTAAAGTTTAAATCTTGAACTATCAATCTCGTTAGTTTTTTTTCCAACCCATTTAGTTTCTTGAATATATAGAATATTTACTTCATATGAATCATAATATTTATTAATTCCATTAATTTGTCTGTTAGAGTGTAAGAGTACTTATATTCTCAATTTTTGTCCTAAACTAGTTTTATGAGCAAGCTTTTTTGTTCACATTCATTCATAATATGAGAATCCTTGCTTATTTAATATTGTACCCGAATGCCAGCGCAGCAGTCTTTGCATATTTTTTCACTGTATTCAGGGCATACAGTGCATCGCTTCAACGAAACGCCCTAACATTAATACATTGTATTAAATGATTCATATCATGATTGTTTGTCAAGCTTTACACTAGTTGTCGATGACCAAACACAATCCTCCACTTTCTTAACTAGAGCTTGGGGCTCGACAAGGATAGTGTGTGTGTGTCTATATATATTAAATTTAAATGAGCTAAATCTTAATTTTCGAAACTGAGGCATCTTCAAAATTAAGCTAAGGCATAACTCACCCCCATTGAGACATAAACCTCATCTAATAAGAATGAGGCATGTGCCTTATTATATTTTTTTATAAAATTGTGTTGAGATTTTCCTCTAATTACATAATTTAAAACCATGGTTTGGTGACCTTTGTCGTGTGCAATGCTAGCAAAATGGAGAATTAACAATCTCAAAATTATCGGAAAAATCCAAACAGCGCGTTTATTGACTAAAGTGAATAAATACAAAATTTTATATAACTCTGTTAGAAATTATAAATGATTACATCTTTACTTGATTGATCCTAATACTATTACAAATGTGCCTATATAAAAGTAAGAGAAGAGAGTAATAAGAACAATACAATAAAGATAAATATCATAAAAAATGAGGATTACACTAATTAATATTATGAATTCTTAATAAATAGTAAACATATGAGATGATATTAATATGGCAATATAATAATTCTAATAACTCTAATATCTTCCACAAATTCATGATGCTACATCAAGGAGCATAAAATATTTGTATAATGCAATAAGAATCAAGAGATCCAAATTAAGAGTTGTTTAACAATTGTTTTGAAATTGTAGAGCTGTGCTAATCGAGGCTAGAATGAGATATTCTCAACTAAACCATGCATAGTCATGAGCTTAGTGCTATGCTAACCATTGTTGAGACTATAGGTGACATAATCATCACAGGAGATATAGACAAGAACAAGGCGGTGTAAGATAAGCTGGAAGGAGATGAATTATATATAAAAATATGTGATAAAATTATGAATGATAAATTAATGAGTAATTATATTTGAAGAATGATTGAAGTGACATTTATTGAATATAAAGTAATTAAAAATATATCTAGATTGTTTTGGCATGCGCAATGTAAGGTAGAAACTGCATTTCAGAAGGGTGCATAAATTTTGTATTGGAGGATTGTGAAAGTAAAAGGTTTAGCCCTAATGTAATATGTTTGAAGTTGTTCAAATTGATTTGCAAAAAAAAAAAATGGATAACATATCAAATGACACTTATCATGTATGGATGGAAAGCAGAGATTCAAAAAGTAAATCCTAAATAGTTGAGATAAGGTTAGTGATGATTTATAAAGTGGCAAAATAAAGAAGAGTAAATTGAGGAATTATAATATTAGAAATGATTAAAGTGGCATATATTCAAGATAAATTAAAAATATACTAAGTAATATGGACGTTCTCAATGAAGGGTACATAGTGCACTTTATTAGATGGGTGATAAATTAGTGGAGGATTATGGAGAAAAGTGTCAGCCATAAGGTAACATGGATTGAAGCTGTTACAACTGATTTATGAAAAATACCGACACTCAATAGGCATTACTGTATGAATGAAAAATAAGGATACATAAAGCTAATACCAAATAGTTGGGACAAGGCATGAATGAAAAATGACTATTCATAAAGCTAATCCTAAATATCTGAGATAAGGCTAATGATATATATATATAATGCTGTGAAAATTGTTTTTAGAAATCTTAATTATTACTTTCATGAATGATGGGATTCTGTTTTGCATGAAATGCTGCTTAATTACAATATTTTTGCCCATCTTGTAGCTAATTGAAGATCCATTTGAGATTTTTCAGTCAGTGTGACGTGTTTCTAGAAGGATTATCTCTGAATTTTCCGCTGTCGTGAATTCTCGATCTGTTCCATTGGAAGGAATCGCATTCAGCTAAACTTAGCACATTAGCTTCTTCCATCTGAACATATTTTCGAATTCATTTAGTTTCAGTTCTTTGTAAAGAAATGGCCCAGGAGAGCTGGAATGAGATCGATGAGACTGAAATCCAAAAGCCCGAGGGTCCTATTCTTTGTGCAAATAATTGTGGCTTCTTCGGTAGTCCAATGACCAACAATCTGTGCTCAAAATGCTACAGAGATCTTGTGATGAATCAAAATGTGTTGGAAGTAGCGAAGCAAGCTACTGTAGCATCTTCTTCTGTGGTGATTGAATCAGTTCCAGCGCAAGAACAGAAATTCAGTGTTGAAACTGTAGGAAATGTCGATAAGAAGGCTTCAGAGGAGGCACTTAACAAGCAACAGCAAAATCGTTGCTTGTCATGCAGAAGAAGGGTGGGTCTAACAGGTTTCAAGTGTCGATGTGGGAGCACATTCTGCTCTACTCATCGTTACCCTGAACTCCATGAATGCTCATTCGACTACAAATGTGCAGGTAGGGAGGCCATAGCCAAGGAGAACCCTGTTGTGAAAGCTGAGAAAATTGAAAAGATCTGATACTGTGGAACTGAAGAATATTGGATGATAGTGAAGCTGATTCCTCAGGTATCCTTAAGTTGCTACTTTCCTGATTGCTGCGTGTATTTTTCAAATCATAACTATTGTAATCAGATCTGAATGTGTGGCTTCTCTGTTTGCTAGCTTTGTATTCAATGGCCAAGCTTATGTTGTTTTTTCCATTTTATGAACTTGTGATGTGTCATCTCATGAGTGAAGAAGGTCGTCATGTTTCTGATTGAATCCAGCAAGTCTGGTGTTATTGTTTTCATTGTGCTAATTTGTTATCTGTTCAGATGATGTGGATTGCACTATGGTTAGTGTACTAAATTAATTTATGTATTGGGAAGGTGTCCTTCAAACGAGAAAGTATTAAGTGCGGAGTTCGGATGACTCTTAACAGGATACAATGGAAAAAATGGTTCATGTATTCGACCCCACGTAGTGGGACAGAGGCTTGATGTTGTTGTTGTTGTGAAGTCTGGATGTAGCTCACATTCAGATTTCAATGAAATCAAGTTACGTGGTTGGTACATATTTTATATTAAACTTGCATACATGATGTGTACAAGCTATGTGATTTGATTTCATTGGAGTCCGGATGATGCGGAGCCTCGGCATGTAATAATTTTTACCTTCAAACTAGTATTGGTTTTTTTTTTTTTTACTTGGGTTTTGTTTATTTATGTGTAAGAAATGGGAAGTAATTGGTGAGGGAAGTGGGCTATTTGGCCTTTCTATCTTAAGAAGTGAGTAACCCTTTGTGAAGGCATTAAAGGTAAAACTCGCACATAGTAGAAAATTTTAATGGCTTTTATATATTCAAGCACATAAGGTCATACATGCAAATAATATAATTAGTATTAAAGTTATATGCACGATATTTATAACTAATGAATTAACTTATTAATTTATACTAAAGAAATATATATTTCAAATGTCATAGATAATGTTTTAGATAATAATAATTATGAATTTCTTATAAGCAAATTATGTATCATTTTGACTAAAAAAATCTTATGTATATCTATATACATTGTATAAATTATTTAGAATATAATTGGTATTATAAAAATCCTTAGATGAAAACCAAATCAAGTATTCAATTATAATAATCCTTAGATGATTCTTCACAAGTTTAGTCTGGTATATATATATATATATATATATATAATATTAGTTTTCGTCTAGAATATTCGTTGCGATAGAAAAATATATAGGTTTAACGTTTTAGCTTTGTATGAAGATCTAACACGCATACAAATAAAAGAAAGGGTGCAGTAATCTTAAGAGACACTAAGATTTTTATGTGGAAATCATATAGAAAGGACAAAAATTATGGGGCTTCCAATTTGAATGAATTCAATAGTATATGCAGTTGATTGCAAATGAGAGCCCTTCTTGGGGGGGAAGTCTTGGTTGATGAAGCAATTTACACATATAAAGTGCCTTACATGGTGGAAATAGAACGAATTACTGTTGATGTGTCATTTGGTAAGAAGGACCATAGTTGGTAGGCGACGGAGGTCAAGAAAGAACATTTTTTGGCGAGAAGGTAAAGGATGTAGCCGGTAGGCGGCGGAGGTCGAAAGATCGTTATCTTGGCGATGGAGGTCGAAGGACCTGAATCGGCGAGCACGGAGTTAGAAGGACATAATCAACAGGCGAGTGAAGGTCAGAAGGACCGTAATCCAAAGGCGACGAAGGTATAAAGGATTGTTGATAGAAACGAGGTCAGAAATGACCACAGTTAGCGTGGCGATATGTGGTCAGAAAAGACTATTGTTTGGGTGAAGGAGTTTCGGAAGGACCATTGGCAGTGCGATAAGTCCGGTGTGGGGTAGAAATCCAGCAACAGGGAAAAGTTCAGCAAATGGTAGAAGTCCGACAAAAGTTTGACAATGGATAGAAGCCCGACAATGGGTGGAAGTTCGACGTTGGGTAGAAATTCGACGACGGACAGAAATCCGATGACAGGTGGAAGTTCGATGTTGGGTAGAAGTTCGACAAAAGTCCGGCAATGGGCAGAACTCGGGCGACGGGCAGAAATTCAACGTCGGGTAAAAGCCTGACTAAAGTCTGATGACTGACAGAAATCCGGCGATTGGTGGAAGTTCGACGTCGGGTAGAAGTCCGACAAAAGTCCGACGACGGATAAAAGTCCGGCGATAGGTGGAAGTTAGGCGTCAAGTAGAACTCTGACGAAAGTTCATCTACATGCAAAAGTCTGGCGTCGAGTAAGAGTCCGGTGACAGGCTGAAGTCTGTCGTCGAGTAAAAGTCCGGCGAAGGGCGGAAGTCTGAAGTCAGGTAGAAATTCGGCGATGGGCGGAAGTTCAACATCATTCGACCGCAAGGTGGAAGTTCGGTTATGTTCGAGAAGTCTGGTGGCAAGGGAACTCTTCCTTGTCTTCCTTCTCTTCTTCCTTGGCTCCCTTTCTCATATTCTCTTCTTGCTTGGATCCCCTCTCATGAGAAATAAGAGGTCTATTTATAGTTTTCTGAGAGCGGCATGACCAGTAATTAAGAGGAATATCATGGGTAAATTGAGAGTGGTTTGAATGAACGGTCGATGTTGAATCCCTTGATTATGGAGTGTTTATTGAGCATTTGAAAGCCTTAATGATATTAGAATTTGACGATTTTGGGCTCGTTGGACTCATCTCTTCAAGCCGCTCGAATCAACTATAAGCACACCACATTTAGAAGCTGTTTGGTAATCCAAATTATGGATTGAACCTTTCATATGCGCTTCGGGTATTTGATTTGGACTCATTTGGGCTCAGATTGAGTTGTATTTGGTGTTGTTGGGTCGTATTTTCAAGACATTCAATTCTACTATAAGTTTGCTAAAACCAGAGCTTGCATGGTTTCTGATTTAATTTTCGAAGTTTCTAACTTAATTTTTCCTCAAGATTTGTACCCGATCAAGAAAGCACATATAGTTTTTACAACATTTTACTTGTATGTAGTTTCTCATTTTCATTTGTGGTAGCTTTATTGTAGCTTTAATTTTTGGACAGCCGCAATAGTTTGATTTAGTTATAACTATTTAATCTTTTTTATAGCTTTAATTTTTCGATAGCTGCCATAGACAACTTTTGACAGCTGCCGTTTTTTTAGAACAATAGATCTATTAGGGTAGTTTGAGTTAACTTTCTTATTATTTTTTAAAGCGGATTTCTAAAACTATTGCAGGCAAAAATATTCACGGCGGGAGAGTGATTGGATTTTTCATCTTTGTCATACTCGAATATTTAGCACACAAATAGGTAATTGAAGAAAGGTTAGAAAAATACTAGAAATTTTTACGTAGAAAGCTCAAAGAGGAAAAAAACAACGGGTCTCACTCAGGTGAAAAGATTTTACTAGATTTGATTAAGTTACAAAGTTTGATCCGTCTCTCAACTTAGAGGCCGTGATATTACAATAGTCTGGAGAGTTGAGATAAAATCCGACAGTGGTCGGGTGGAAGTCCAGCGGCAGTCGGGTTGTGGTCCGACGATAGTTGGGCGGAAGTCTGGCGACGGTCCAGTTCTTGAAGCCTCAAAGCTCTCTCCAATCTCCATCCAAAAGTTCCATTCATGTAAAGAGTGGATGTCTATTTATAAATTTTTAAGAATGACATGACCCATAAATATGAAGAAGATCTGAGCCAATTTTGGAGTGCTCCATCAGACGACTCATATTGTTCCCCCAATTATAGAGTGCTTTTCAAGTGTTAGGTGTCTTAATGATGTCAGAATACAACAATCTTAGGCTCGTTGGATTAGTCTAGTCGAGCCACTCATGCAATATTTGGTTATCATCTGGTCGTCCAATTTTGACTTTGAACCTTTCAAATAAGCTTTGAGCCCCTGATTTTGACCCATTTGGGCTCGAATTGGACTGATTTTGGTGTCCTTAGATTCATCTCTTTAAGACATTCATTTTAACTATAAGTTTGTCGAAGTTGAAGTTCAAATAATCCCAAATTTAATTTTAGAAGTTTCCAACTTGAATTTGACTTGAGATTCGTGCATGATCAAGATGATTTTTGGTCACATATCAAAACAAAAATTTCTTGAATTAAAATTTTTTATTAGAAAATTGTTTTAAAAAATAATTAAAAAACCCTCCCAAACTAAGCCTAAGTTAGCTTTATTAAATGAAAGAAGTTTATTATATTCCCATCAACTTTTAAAAAATCTATTTAAATAGACGAAATCTAATTAAGTACCAACAGTAAAAGAGAGCAGAAAATGTAAAATAAGATTAATGAACAAATGCATAAATGATTTTTGGTAGGTATGCCTATAAAATTACAATGAGAAACCTAAGAAAATTGAAAGTTCAATAAAATTTTAGAAATGCCATTAATGAAATTATTAATAAAAATTTAATTTTTTCGTAATTCTCCTTACATCTTTCTTATGAAAGTCGATTCTAGGTTAAGGCTTCATTTGAGACGGTTTTTTTCCTGCTTCTTAAAGCAGCTTTTTAGTATAAAATTTTAAATTTTTGTACTAAAAAGCTACTTTTTAGTTAAAAAATCGTCCCAAATAAAGCCTAAATCTGCCTAACATATTTTCTTTTTGAGATAAAAATTAAGTTCTCCAACTTAGCACTCATCATGTTAATATCTATGCTATTGAAGTGATTAGAGCTGCCCTAATGCGCCTACCAAAATAATTACTATTATTCGGCTATGTTATGATGAAATTTTTTAAAAAGATTAGATTTCAAGTAGAACTGAGGACATGGGCGGATCCCAATGTAGTTGAAATGCCCCCCCTCAAATTTTTTTTTTTTTAATTTTAGTGAGATATTTTGAAATATTTTGAGTATTTTGAATATTTTGCCCCCTCTCAAAAAAATTTTTTGCCCTCATTTAATCAATCCTAAGCATCTTTGCCCATCCCCCACAAAAAAAAATTTTTTTGCCCACCCTGAAAAAAGAAGCTGGATCTGCCCCTGACTGAGGAGAAGGAACAAAATTTAAAAATATAAAAAATGCAAACGGGTAGTGCGTCTTGCAGGAACAACAAATTAAACCTGCATTTTTAGGAAAAACGCAAATCATATTTACGTTTTCTTCAGAAAATTTGTAATTCGCTTGCATTTTCTGCTTAAAATGCCACATTGATTTGCGTTTTTTTTCCTTAAAACTGATTTTTGTTCTCAAAGCACGCCAGACCCCACTCAGCTTGCTCCTTTCACGTGAATACTTGAATGGGTCGATCTGAAATTTGCAACCGGATTGCTTCAAACAGTTTGGCCATGCTTTTTTCTTTAAATTGCAGGAACATGGCATTGAGAGCA